TATCTATTATTCTCCACCAATTGTCAAGTATATTAGGCTGATTTGGGCAAAAAATAATTGTGTCATCAGCATACTATAAATGGGAAATCTCCACTTTCTGGCGGCCTACCTCAAAGCCTCTAAGAATCCTTCGTTGGCTGCAATAATGAACTAGACGGCTGAAGGAATCACCTATCAAAGTAAACAGAAAGGGAGACAACGGGTCTCCTTGACGAAGGCCTCTCTTAGCCATAATCTTACCTCTAGGTTTACCATTGAGGATGGAGAAATTTATTGTGTGCAAACACCCTTTCATCCAACCCCTCCATCTATTCCCAAAGACTTTTTGCTCTAGAACCTAATCGAGGTAAGTCCAATCAACTTTATCATAAGCTTTTTCATAATCCAACTTTAGAATAAAGCCCGACTCTTTCCTCGCTTCCAAGTCTCCAACAGCTTCTGAAGCTATCAAACTAGTGTCTATGATCTATTTGAAGGCTCCTGCAAAGGTCATTGACTCCATGGAAAAATTGTTCAGGGATTTTATTTGGAGTGGAGGCTCATATAAACCACTAAACGTTTTGGTTGAGGGAGTCCGTCCGTGGATAGAGATTGACACGGACATGCAAGGTTTCCTCAATTTTGTCATGTTTAAGGCATCGAAAGGGAGGAAAATCAGATTTTGGAAGATGCATGGCTAGACTGCTCCTTTGGCTAGACTTTTTCCAGATGTGTACAGTATCCCTATAAAGGACTGTCTTATTGCGGACTGTTGGGTAGATCACTTTCAGTCTTGGAATATTATTTCAGAACAAATTTGTTTGATTGAGAGATCAGTAGATGGGCTCAATTTATAGAGAAGTTGGATCTTTTATACATAAGGCAAGGCACAGATAGATTGATGGGAAAGTGGTTCTGCCATGGTTAAGTATGCTTTCTCCCTTCTTACCTCCCCATTGGCTAGGTTGAAAGCCCCGGTGGTCAATCACATTTGGAATTTAAGGTTTCGAAGAAGGTTAAATTCTTTATTTGGACCTTGTTTTACAGGAGCTTAAATATGCCTGAGAGGCTTCAACAGAGATGTCCTCAATGATCTCTCTCCCTCAATTTGTAACTTGTGTCTCTCCAATGAGGAGTCTCTAGACCATATTTTTGTACATTGCGATTTTGTTTAGAAAGTGTGGGCCCATGTTTAGGGGGTTATAGGCTTTTCTATGTGTATTCCCAGTAGAGTCAATTATCTGATTGCAGAAAATTTTGGAGGTGTGGTGCTTAGAAGAAAGGAAAATATCTTATGGAATTGGGCAGCCGTGCTCTTTTTTGGATGATTTGAAAAGAAATGAACAGTATACTTTTTTTAAGGAAAACAAACTTCGATGAATTCTTTTTGTGAAAATGTACAATATACTTCTTTGTGGTGGTGCACAAACCACATGATGATGTAGTAGCTAGCTGTTATTTTAAGCCTTTCTGTTTGGTTGTTAGAGTTGTATCTTCGGTTTAGTTGGTTTAGTAGTTACTACATAGTAACTTGTCTTTACTGTGTAATTTATTTGGAGGCAGCCTCTATACTTAGGCTCCTTCATCACTAATAAGAGGTAGATTTCACTATTCTTCAAGAAACTCTAGTGCAAGTATGCATCAAATTGGTATCAGAGTACCCAATTTTCTGGGCACTCAATGGTGGGAAAGAAACCAGCTTCCACCAGTGACTCTTCTCTTGCCAACAAAGAGACGGAACAATTTTCTGTTCTCTCACCACGATCAACAGCCGTATGCTTGCTGTCTGTTGAAGGAGACGTTAAAGCCATTCAAAAGGATGTGAGTGAGATTAAACAGATTCTGGAAATTATTCATGGGCAATTAGAAACCTTGAGTGTGCAGCAAACTCCGGTTAGAACCACTCCTCAACACCCTGCAAGATTGGATCAAGAAACTAGAATGGAGGATCAAAGAGCTACCTACCTACAAGAAAGGTAGACAGCCCCACCAAGAAAGGCCCAAGAAATCAATCTGGGACCAAGAAACCTCCAAAATCAGCAACCTTTTTGCCAAGAATTCAATTGAAACCCTTTATTTCAGTGACGTAGTGAGCTGTTGATTGATTCCTCAAGCGACGAGGAGGAAGAACTATTAGCATTCAAAGAAGACGACCAGGTACATGTTTTCATCCTAATCGACAACAAGAAACTGGTGACTATAAGATGAAAATAGATCTTCCCAGTTTTAATGGGAAAATGGAAATTGAAGGTTTCTTGGATTGGGTAAGAAATCTAGAATTTTTTTTAGCTATATGGGCACTCCTGAGCATAAAAAAGTTCGGTTAGTCGCTTTGAAGTTAAAAGATGGAGCTTCGGCGTGGTGGGATCAACTAGAAATTAACTGATAGAGGTGGAAAACACCCTATTTGCAGTTGGGAACAGATGAAAAAACTAATGAGGGGACATTTCCTACCGGTTAATTTTGAACAAATCTTGTACAACCAATATCAAAGTTGTAAACAGGGCTCGAGATCTATAGCAGATTATATCGAGCAGTTCCATCACCTTGGGGCGCGCACGAATTTGGCTGGGAGTCAATAATACCTAGTGGCACGCTACATTAAGGAACAAATCACATTAGAACCTATTGGATATATTAACGAAGTTTTCTCCATGATGACTACCATTGAAGAACAAGTGAGTAATCGTTACAAGAAGCAGTATTTAAGAAGGAACACTTGGGATCAAGGAGGCACGTCTAAGAAGAATACTTCCCTCCAGTGATCACCTATCTTCCCAAATCAATTCCTCCACCACATCTAAAGGTAGACAACCAGAACTAGATACTGTCACAATATTGTCACAATATTGCGGGGAAAAGAACTAACAATACTTATAGCCAACCAACATTGGGTAAATACTTTCGTTGTGGACAAACCAAACATCTTTCTAATGTATGCCCCCAACTAAAGGCTATCTCCTTGGTCGAAGAGGAAGATATCCAAGAAGACAGTGGAGAGAATCCCGAAGATGAGGTTGACTATGCTGAACCGGATGAAGGAGAACCCGTGTCCTGTGTGTTCTTCAACGAGTCCTGGTGACACCTAAAACAGAGGTGGCCTACCAACAACATGCTTTTTTCAAGACCCAATGCACTATCAATGGCAAGATTTGCAATATCATAATTGATAGTGCTAGTCTTGAGAATATCATAGTAAGTAAGTTAGTAACAACTTTGCATTTGCCTTTATCCCCTCACCCTTCTCCATATAAGGTGTCTTGGATCAAGAAAGGTGGGGAGGCTCAAGTCACACATACGTGCACAGTCCCCTTGATGTAGTAGCTAGCGGTTATTTTAAGTCTTGCCGTTTGGTTGTTAGAGTTGTATCTTCTGTTTAGTTAGTTTAGTAGTTACTATACAGTAACTTGTCTTTACCGTGGGAGGCAGCCTCTATAAATAGGCTCCATCATCATTAATAAGAGGTAGATTTGACTGTCTTCAAGAAACTCTAGTGCAAGTGTGCATCACCGCAAGAAATTCTTTTGTAACTATAGTCTCACTATGATTATAAGTGATTGGAAAGCTCTTATTACTTAGTGCTCGGGATATGGTGATCCTCCACCCTTTGCCCCTAGGCCGTATCTTCTTTTTTGTGATTAATACATCTCTATTTCTTATCCCAAAAAAATGTAATACCTCATCTAGATCTAAGGAATTGTATCATACTTAAAAACATCATGTCAGAAAATCGTCAAATCTAGCTGTTTTTTATTTTCTTAGAGATTGATGTTAAATGCAATTTTGCATCTTTTTTTGGGTCTAGCTCTTAAACATTATAGATCCTTGCCAAATTTATACCGAACATTTTGGACAAAGCTAGTATATTGGAGATCCCAAAGACTTGCTTGGAAAGGTTGCTAGCTATACCATGCCACCATGCCTTTTTACACAACTCGAGTCTAGTAGTCATCTAGACTCTGCTCACACTAAAATCATTACTCTTAATTCTCTCTAGCAATGATGCTCTAAAGAGCAGTACAATATAGTTAGGTAGGGACAATGAATTTGTAGTGATAAGAAAGAATCTAGGAATTAACGGTTTGTAACTTTTTAGCATTTTTACGATTGGAGATCTTTTTCATGTCTGAAATTTCCATCAACATTTGTGTTTGTCATGTTGTCAAATTGAAAATAGACATTTTTCAGGTATCAACATTTTTTAGGTATCAAATAGACAATGAAAATAGAACTATGAAGGAGAATTTTGAATGGGGCAAGAGTTATCTCTACAGCCGTGAAATATGGAAGATTGACATGGCCTCTTCTCTGCTTGGGCTTTTATCATCTGAAGGCAGACCGTAGGTGTTGCCAAGGCAAAGATTTGTAAGTGTTCTACCATTTTTCTCATTCTGGGGTTGGTTCGTCGTTCCTTTCTTCTTCTTGTAGTTTCATAGATCTTGCAGCAAAGTCTAAAGTTGAAGTTTTAAAGAAGCTGGTCTTTTTTTTATGGAAGTTTGAGTGGTTCAAGGGTTGCTATTCGGTGTTGCAATTGTAAGGTTTTATCAGATGACGAAAAAAGTTCTTTATATGATCAATTCGGCGAGGTAGTAGGGAGAATTTGGCGTAATGATCAGCGGTTTCCCAAGGATTGATACCTTTGAAATTTTCATTCTTTGGCTGATCAGTTGGATTTTTTTGGAGAAAGAGATGGTACTGGAGGCATCATTTTAAAAAAGAGGAGCGGAAAGAAATCATAATCTTGATATTCATTATGCATTGCAATTAAGCTTTGAAAAATCAGTATTTGGAGCAGAGCAGGAAATTCAATTTCCTGTTTTTTTAATGTGAATCAAACTTTTCTTTGATAATATGAAAATGAAGAGAAATGTTCAGGATACAAACTCCCAAAGGGAGTGGAAAAAAAAAACACAACAAAGAACAAACGAAGATGCAAGAGAATAGAACAAATGACCTAAACCACAAACTAGAAATTGCGAAAGCAACACCACTAAACCTAACGCTAGGGGTGTTCAAAAAACCTGACAACCCGACGAACCCAACCCAAACCGTAAAGGATGAGTTGGGTTAGATGAAGCATCGGGTTGGGTTGGGTTGGGTTGTGATTTTCCCAACCCGATCAGGTTAGGTCGGGTCTCAGGTTAAACCTTTAAAAAATCGGGTCTACCTAACCCAATCCGAATTTATGCATATATGTGTATTTTTTTAATTATATATATATAATTATATCTTTATCTTCAATGTTAACCGTCTTAATCCTAGCTTTTCATTTAAAGTTTTCATATTATCTTATTCCATTTTGTATCTTAATCTCAGCCGTCCATTTAGTTTTAATTCTAATTCTCAGTCGCCACCGTGATAATTAAAGGGAAAAAACACAACCCGATGTAACCCGAAGATATTGGGTTGGGTTGACCATCCAATTCGAACCCGACGATTCCTATATATGGCCAACCCGTAAATTCGGGTTGGTTCTAAAACCCCTCCTAACCCGACCCAACCCAACCTGTGAACACCCCTACCTAACGCCAAAGTAAAAACCAAAGTGACATTTTCGAGTTGGGATCCATCTCTCCTTATCACGTCAGCCAGAGAAAAGGGATCAAATGGTTTACAATAATGCTAAGAAAGAATTAGATCAAGACCATTCTTTTTAGACTGGGCTTGACTTCTATCGGGTCTTCGTATCTTCAAAGATAGAAAGTACACATCACTGAAAAACCCAAAAACAGAAGCTGAAGAGGAAATACTGGTGAATGGCTAGCAGATTAGCAGTTAAGTCTGCTTATAGTTTCTTTTGGGACAAGTGAAAATTTTCTTGTTTTGAGACAAGTGATAATTGTGATGGAACCTCAGTGCATAATCAAGTAATTGCATAGGATATGGTGCCAACTTTCATGGAAAAGAAGTGGTAAAAACTCAGAGAACACCTTTTAGAACATTGTTTAAGAGAATCTTTGAAGGAAAAAGCAAGTTGTCAGAGGTGTTTCAGTCTAGCTAAATTTAAAGCATCCTTTTGGTGCTCTCTGTAATCTGGTGGCCTTTAGAGCTCTCGTTTAGTTCTTGATCTGATTTTAGTGGTATCTTTTTACTTCTAACTCTTTGGGGAGTTTGTTTCTTTTTATTTCTCTCTCACTCCTTTGGGAGTTTGTATCTGATGGACCTCCCATCACAAAGGTATATGTGAGGAGGAAGGGGAGGGTGAGAAAGTAAGTGGAAACTGTTCTCTTGTGGGCCAGGGAGGAAAATATTATACATGGCAGAGGGGTCTAAAGGTAGTTAGAGGAGGGAATTTCTGGATTATTCCCTGAGGGTGGTATATGTACTTTTCTGCTTCTTGAGGGAGGGATTATCTTTTTGCACTTGAGTCCATAGAAGGATAGGAAGGAGAGGTACGGGAGCTCTCTAAATCTCCCTTGATATTGTAATCTGTCTCTCTTATATAAANGGGAGGGATTATCTTTTTGCACTTGAGTCCATAGAAGGATAGGAAGGAGAGGTACGGGAGCTCTCTAAATCTCCCTTGATATTGTAATCTGTCTCTCTTATATAAATAATAGAAGCAGAGTTTTATCATTTTGGTATCAGAGCAGCGATTGCTGGGCATGGTCACTACGAGAATGGAGTCTCGAGTTGAAGCAGTGGAACAACAAATCTCAGGGGTGGTTTTGGCCATAGAAGATAGTAGGGAATCGTGGAAGAAGGAAATGGCATTGTTTAAGGATGAGATGCGCCTGTGGATGACGACGGTATCACAGAGGATGGGAATGGAAGAGAAGACTAAGGACGACAAAGGGAAAGGGCTGGAGAAAATCGATGTGGGGGAGAAGACGCCTCAGAGTATGGTGACTTCAAGTGATGGGTCGAATCAGCTCACGAACGCGTTAGCCTCGGTATTCGATCTTTGATTACGCAAATTGGAGGTACCTATTTTTGAAGGGGAAAATCCCGATAGGTGGCTACATCGTGTGGCTCGATATTTTCGGATTAATCGATTGACTGATGACGAGAAATTGGAGGTGGCGGTGCTCTGTTTGGACGGTAAGGCTTTGGCATGGCATCAGTGGGAGGAGAAGGAGAACCCGATACAGACTTGGGAGGAGTTTCGGCTATTGTTACTGCAGTGTTTCCGACCAACCTTGGAAGGGACTCTGTGCGACCGGTTTATGGCGGTAAAGCAGGAGACGACGGTGAGGGATACCGCCGGCGATTTGAGGAATCTGGCGGCCCCGTCAACGGCACACCTGCGTTCGTACTAGAAAGCTTGTTCATCAACGGCTTAAAGGAGGAGATACGAAGAGAGGTGAGGGTGATGAAGCCCAATGGGCTTAAAGAACTTATGATTATGGCCCAACTAATTGAGGACAAAAATGGGGCACAGATTACAGAGGCCCACTCAAATCAAACAACTTCAGGGGGAAAAGGAGGCTCAGGCAGTGGCATAGGGGTGGGTAGTTGAAACAACTGGGTCATCTTTTGGATCGGCCCGAACTGTTTCTATTAGTTCCAATCGTTCACAACCGACATGCAACAATGAGTTGGCGAACAAAGGGGGGAACGTGTCATCAGGGGTGGGGCAATTCCGCCGACTTTCGGATACGGAACTAAAGGCACGACGAGAGAAGGGCCTTTGCTACCGCTGTGATGAGAAATTCGCACCGGGACACTGCTGCAAGGAAAAAAGAATTGCAAGTTCTTGTGGTTCAAGAACCGAAATAGACGTGGAAGATTTTCACGATGCAGTAGATTCCATCGGAGAAGATATCGGTAAGGAAGAGGTGGAGTGTGCAATGTTGTCGCTAAATTCTCTCGCTGGTTTAACTTCACCAAAAACGAAAACCATCAAAATTTGGGGACGGGTAGCCGGATGGGAGGTGGTGGTTTTAATCGACAGTGGCGCCTCTCATAATTTTATTTCCGATGCTGTTGTGCGGGAATTCCGTCTTCCGGTAAGTGAAACCAAAGGCTATAGAATCGTTTTGGGGATAGGAATGGAGGTGACCCATTCGGGTGTGTGTAAGGCGATAGAGTTGGTGCTTTCGGGCATAAGCTTAATCCATGAATTTCTACCCATTCCGTTGGGCAGTGCAGATGTTATATTGGGCGTGCAATGGCTGTCCACATTGGGTGACGTTTTGATTAATTGGGAAAAACTAACGATGTCGTTTGTAGTGAATGAACAAGCTTACAAAAGACGCAAGTTTCGTTGAAGGCTATGTTACGAGTCATACAACGGGAGAAACACGAAGTTATTGTGGAATTACGGGCTTCTCAATTGGAGCTGGCTAAGACAACAATGACCCCTTGGGAGGTACAGTTGGTATTAGAAGAATTCAACCATGTATTTCAACCTCTGGAAGGATTACCGCCAATTCGGGGTAATGAGCACGCGATTGAACTAACGCCCGTTGCCAGGCCGGTAAACGTGCGACCTTACCGCTACCCCCAGTTCCAGAAGGATGAGATTGAGCGTTTGGTACAAGAAATGCTGTTGGCAGGGATAATTCAACCTAGTTCCAGTGCTTTTTCTAGCCCCGTTCTTCTTGTTAAAAAAAGATGGAAGTTGGCGTTTTTGTGTTGACTATCGCGCATTGAATCGGGTGACTGTGCCGGACCAATTTCCTATTCCCGTGGTGGAGGAATTACTGGATGAACTTTGTGGGGCTACAATCTTTTCAAAGATTGACCTAAAGTCGGGTTACCATCAGATAGGGGTACAACCTTCCGACGTCCAAACGGCATTTCGAGCACACGATGGACACTACGAATTCCTTGTGATGCCATTCGGGTTGTGGAACGCCCCGTCCACGTTTCAATCTTTAATGAACGACATCCTCCGGCCATATTTACGTAAGTTCACTTTGGTCTTTTTTTATGACATTTTAGTGTACAGCTGTTCTATACAGGAACATGTCAAACATCTTCGGCTGTTGCTCCAAATTCTCTCTGATCACAAATTGGTTGCCAACCAAAAGAAGTGTTTATTTGGGCTACCCCAAATTGAGTACCTGGGGCACATTGTGTCTAAAGGAGGAGTGGCTGCAGATCCTTCCAAAATTGCCGCCATGGTGGATTGGCCTCTCCCTTGCAATATCGAGGAACTCCAGGGGTTCCTCGGTTTCACTAGTTATTATCGGAAATTCGTCCGGAATTATGGCACCATTGTTTTCCCGTTGACTCAGCTACTCAAAAAGGACAATTTCCATTGGAGTGAGGAGGCTACAGTAGCTTTCAACACCCTCAAGAAATTCATGACTGACATCCCCATTCTTGGGTTACCCGATTTTTCCAAGCCATTTGTTGTAGAAACGGATGCTTTCGGTATCGGACTTAGGACAGTGTTGATGCAAGACAAGAGACCCATTGCTTATTATAGTCATGCCTTACCCGCGTCCCATCGGCATAAGGCCATTTATGAACGCGAGCTGATGGCGATTGTCTTGGCCATCCAAAAATGGCGCGCGTACTTGTTAGGCCGGAAGTTCATCGTACGAACCGATCTGAAAGCTCTCAAATTCCTCCTTGACCGACGGGTAATTCCGGGGGAGTATCAAAGATGGATCACCAAATTGTTCGGGTACAACTTTGATATTGAGTATAGGCCGGGGTTGGAGAACAAAGCCGCCGNGCCCACAATCGACGCGTAACAACGAGTTGGCGAATAAAGGGGGGAACACGTCATCAGGGGTTGGGCAATTCCGCCGACTTTCGGATACGGAACTCAAGGCACGACGAGAGAAAGGCCTTTGCTACCGCTGTGATGAGAAATTTGCACCGGGACACCGCCGCAAGAAAAAAGAATTGCAAATCCTCGTGGTTCAAGAAATCGAAACAGCCCTGGAAGATTTTCACGATGCAGTAGATTCCATTGGAGAAGAAATCGGTAAGGAAGAGGTGGAGTGTGCAATGTTATCACTAAATTCTCTGGTTGGTTTAACTTCACCAAGAACGAAAACCATCAAAATTCGGGGACGGGTAGCGGGAGGTGGTGGTTTTAATTGACAGTGGCGCCTCTCATMATTTTATTTCAGAAGCTGTGGTGCGGGAATGCCATCTGCCGGTAAGTGAAACCAAAGGCTATGGAATCGTGTTGGGGACAGGAATGGATGTGACCCATTCGGGTGTGTGTAAAGCGATAGAGTTGGTGCTTCCGGGCATAAGTTTAATCCAGGAATTTCTACCAATTCCGTTGGGCAGTGCAGATGTTATATTGGGTGTGCAATGGCTGTCCACATTGGGTGACGTTTTGATTAATTGGGAAAAACTAACAATGTCGTTTGTAGTCAATAAACAACAGGTTATGTTGCAGGGGGTACCAAGCTTACAAAAGACGCAAGTTTCGTTGAAGGCTATGCTACGAGCCATACAACGGGAGAAACACGAAGTTATTGTGGAATTACAAGCCATAGGGGCTTGGGATTCTCAATTGGAGCTGGCTAAGACAACAATGACTCTGCGGGAGGTACAGCCGGTATTAGAAGAATTCACCCATGTATTTCAACCTCTGGAAGGATTACCGCCAATTCGGGGTAATGAGTACACGGTTGGACTGAACCCGCTGCCGGGCCGGTAAACGTACGACCCTACCGTTACCCCCAGTTCCAAAAGGATGAGATTGAGCGTTTGGTACAAGAAATGCTGTTGGCAGGGGTAATTCAACCTAGCTCCAGTGCTTTTTCTAGCCCTGTACTTCTTGTAAAAAAAAGATGGAAGTTGGCGCTTTTGTGTTGATTATCGCGCATTGAATCGGGTGACTGTGCCGGACCAATTCCCTATTCCTGTGGTGGAGGAATTACTGGACGAACTTTGCGGGGCTACAATCTTCTCAAAGATTGACCTAAAATCGGGTTACCATCAGATACGGGTTCAGCCTTCTGACGTCCATAAAACGGCATTTCGAACACACGATGGACACTACGAATTCCTTGTGATGCCATTCGGGTTGCAGAACGCCCCAGCCACGTTTCAATCCTTAATGAACGACATCCTTCAACCCTATTTACGTAAGTTTGTGTTGGTATTTTTTTATGACATTTTAGTGTATAGCTCTTCTATACAGGAACATGTCAAACATCTCTGGCTGGTGCTCCAAATTCTCTCCGATCACAAATTGGTATCCAACCAGAAGAAGTGTTTATTTGGGCTACCCCAAATTGAGTACCTGGGACACATTGTGTCTAAAGACCGGGTGGCTGCAGATCCGTCCAAAATTGCCGCCATGGTGGATTGGCCTCTTCCTCGAAATATCAAGGAACTCCGAGGGTTCCTCGGTCTCACTGGTTATTATCGAAAATCCGTCCGGAATTATGGCACTATTGTTTTCCCGTTGACTTAGCTACTCAAAAAGGACAATTTCCATTGGAGTGAGGAGGCTACAGTAGTTTTCAACAAACTCAAGAAATTTATGACTGATATCCCCGTTCTTGGGTTACCCGATTTTTCCAAGCCTTTTGTTGTAGAAACGGATGCTTCTGGTATTGGACTTGAGGCAGTGTTGATGCAAGACAAGAGACCCATTGCTTATTTTAGTCATGCCTTACCCACGTCCTACCGGCATAAGGCCATTTATGAACGTGAGTTGATGGCGATTGTCTTGGCCGTCCAAAAGTGGCGTGCGTACTTGTTAGGCCAGAAGTTCATTGTACGAACCGATCAGAAAGCTCTCAAATTCCTCCTTGACCAACGGGTAATTCCGGGGGAGTATCAAAGATGGATCTCCAAATTGATCGGGTACAACTTTGATATTGAGTACTATCAATGGTGGGCAGTCTTAACACCACGGTATTCACTTAGGAAATTTTAGAGGATGAGCAATTGACCAAGATAGTGAGCTCCCTTCAATCTGGACAACCAACAGAGGCTGGCTTCACCCTAAAACAAGGAACTCTGTACCACCACGGTCGGCTAGTCCTCCCTCATAAATCCCCTTCTATCCCACTTTTATTACAGGAGTTTCATTGCTCTCCAACAGGGGGACACTTGGGCTTTCTTAAAACTATACACCGCATCAGTCGGGAGGTATATTGGCGTGGAATGCGGAATCAGGTGAAGCGTTTTTGTGCTGATTGTACCGTGTGCCAACAAGCTAAGTATTTATCCTTGGCACCTGCCGGCCTCTTACAACCCTTGCCTATTCCGAATCAGATTTGGGAGGATATCTCCATGGATTTCGTGGAGGGGTTGCCAAAATCCGATGGGTATAACGCCATTTTGGTGGTTGTGGACCGTTTGTCTAAGTATGCCCATTTTTACCCCTCAAACACTCATTTACTGCTATTTCAATTGCTCATATTTTCATGAAAGAAGTGGTCAGATTACACGGCCTTCCCCGCAGCATCGTTTCAGACCAAGATAAGGTCTTCACTAGTTTGTTTTGGGAGGAATTGTTTCGTTGCTTGGGAACTTCTTTACGCCGTAGCACAACTTATCACCCCCAGACGGATGGCCAAACCGAGGTGGTTAATCGGTGTTTGGAGGCTTATTTGCGGTGTTTTACAATGCACACACCTTCCAAATGGGGAAAATGGTTAGCATGGGCGGAGTTYAGCTACAACACTTCTTTTCACACTGCTACTAAAACTACTGAGGCTGTGTATGGAAGACCCCCTCCACCAATTCTGTCTTATGAATCCGGCATGTCCCCAGTATCCTCGGTGGACCAACAATTACAAGAAAGAGATGCTATGTTACGCGACCTTAAGTCCCACCTATTGGCTGCCCAATAGCGGATGAGTGCACAAGCGAATGGCAAGCGAAGGGAAGTCGAATTTGAGGTCGGCGCATGGGTTTACTTGAAGTTATGCCTCTACCACCAAAGCAGTTTGTACCCTCAATCTATTGCCAAGCTAGCACCCCGATTCGTGGGACCATTTCGTGTACTTGAACGCATTGGATCCGTGGCATATAAACTCGCCTTACCGGAGTCTACCTCTATCCACCCAGTTTTTCATGTGTCC